GGCGCGGGGTGCGCACCAACAGCTGACTTTCTTCTCTTTAAAGGTGGTTCGCAGCTCGGCGAGCTCTTAATACCGTGAGCTCCCGAGCTCGAATTTCACGGCTGAGAGGACAAGTCGGTTTCGTGTCGGGCTGACTGAAGATGTGCGAATCCCCTTCTCTCCTCCCCATCCCGGGACTTGAGCCTCTCCCGGGAACCACCCCCCGCCGTGCTCTCCGGGGAGGTACCTCACACGGCGCACGGCCCGAAGGGATCCCCCTCAGCGCCGGGGACCGGCGGCGGTTTGGAGCTGTTCATAGTAACAGACTCTTTCTCCAGGTCATGGAGCAGACACGGACCGTACACGGCTGTTTATTACAGTACACTCTGTTGACAGCCAGTCAAAAGCACCAGATGTTTAAAATAGAGAAAAGAATTGCAGAAAAGTCCATTTCTAAAAAAAAAAATATGCAGGCGTTAATTCTTCCAGAAATTGCTCACCTGCAAATACAGCTTTTAAAAGAGAAATTGTTGTGCTTTGCTGCCATGAAAGTATTAATGCTAGTAATCAAATATCAGGACTAAACCCCATATTCAGTTCCAATGCAAAAAGCTCCAAGTCACCTTTATCATTAAACTACTTCGTAACTCCTCCTTTTAAATTTGATCCCCAAAATGATCCCAATAAATCCAGAAAACACGCAAACTGTCAGAATGCAATGTTTCAACTAAACACATATTTAAATTGCATTGAGAAAACCACTAAGCATATTCAGATTAGAAATCTGCTGTGATTTGGGTGATTAGGTTTTCCCCTTTCCTTTCTTGGCTGTAATGGACTTAAGCAATCCTTCATAGCAGACCCGAAGGAAAGGTAAATAATCTTTGAATTTCTTAGTTTTAGGGAAAGTTTCACCTTTTCTCACTCTATCCATACTAATACAAGCTTTTCCGTGAAAGTATTTTTAGTAATTACTAATGCTAGAAAGGCACACGAACAAAATCATTATTTTTTACAACATGTAACAGATATCCACAAAATTGCTACTGTTACATTTTCACAAAAGACTCACTTAAGTGCTGTGTTTGATTACTCTCTCTAGTAAACAATTCTTGTGGGAGTCAACCATTCATTTATGTTCTTAGTGAATAAGCCTATCCTAAGTTTGGCAAGACGGGCATTCCGTTACTTTGATGATTTTCCAAAAAACTGAATTAAGAGGTTTGCTCTTGTAAGTTAAATTCGGAAATTTTATAATAGAAATGAAAAATGAGACCCTAGTTCTCTTCCTGTTCGCTTCAAGGAGAACATAATCACATCACTGGATATTGAGAAATCCCAGCATTACACCGATTTTCCCAGAGAGATTAAGGCATTAATCCTGCAAGGCCACACTCACCAATATAGTTATAACTTTGGGCCTATTCAGGCAACAATTAACTGAAAAAAAAAAAAAGAAAAAAAAAAAAAAAGGTCTTTAACATCAATCTCAGAGGTAATATTGAAGCATAGCAAGCAATAATGTGAATTACAGTTCTGAGTGATACACAGTTTCATTTTACTTTGTCAAAGGACAATTAAAAATGTGCTTATCTGACAATTTCAGTCATGAGTTCTTGTTACAAGAAGTCTTAATTCTAAAAATCTTAGCCTATCTATTGACTAAAAAAAAAATCAAATGTATGCAAAAACAAGTGATCCATTGAATTCTCATACATTAAGACTGTACTTTAAAGTGGGAATTCAGATGCCGAAGAAAATCTTCCTTAGATGTTATAGATGGTGGGAAAACTTCTCGACAGAATTCACATATTCCACACTGATTCAGTTCAGAGTCTGTATAAACTTGTGCCAGCAAATCATTGTCTCGAGGCTGCCAAACAAGCTAAAAGAAACAGAAAATTATTATTGCTGTGGTTTACAATGTGGTTTATGTTATGCTGTGCTTTATATTATATTAAAAAATACCCGCCTCTTTAAACTAGGTGTCCTTTACACCTGCCTGGCCAGAGACATTAACTAGAGTTCTCATTTAAGAAAAGCAAGATAGGACTTTGATTTTTTTTCAAGTTCTATAAACATACAATTCTTGTAAACACTTAAAATGCCTTGGTATCTATTAATGATAAATACTGCTATAAGCAAAAGTCTGTAAAGTCAGTCTGACACATATTAAGGCTTTTCTTTGACTTAGCATTTCAGTATTTTACACTGTAGAAGTCACAGTATGTAACAGCCATTCAACAGAAATGACAAAACACATTTTTGCCTTACCATAAAATGTTTCTTGTACAGAGTTAATATGAATCATATTTTATTTCTGTTCCTATTGTCACATAACTAGTTTTCAGTTTACTTACAAAATGACCGGAGCAATGTCACCTATTTGTGACAAAGTTACCTATTTGCTCTGACTGCCTTGTAGTATAAATGTGTCCCGAAAAATCTGTTTTGGGATTCTTTCTGCCATGACAGCATCAAACTCAACGGGACCAGCTGAGTATCTATTCATGCTTTCGGGCAATTCTGTAAACTTTGCTAAATTTGGTTCAGCACCTGTATTGCTCTTGGTCCCTGAGCTAGTTAGTTCGAAGCCAGAAAGTCTGTTTACCTGACGTTGGAATTCAAGGGACTTCAGCCTGACACATACTTTAAGCCAGATCGTACATTAATTATTTAGCATCATACCAACTAGGAATCCAAAAGTCTTCTATTAGTTTTCAAAGTAAAATTAAAAATTAAATTACATTAGTTTAGGATTAGCAACACAAGATAAAATACATAAATAAGTTATATGTCCAGGACCATTATGTTTTGGGTAAAATGAAAACTAAATGCATGCTGCTGTGACTGCAAAGTAGACAGAATGGCAGCAAGCTGGTACAAGCTCCATGTGGGGATGGAACTTAGAAGAGAGGACCCCTAGAGGGTTTTTTTGGCTCAGTTTTCTATTCTCTTGCTTCACTCACACATGGAAAGGCAAGAAAGAATACTTTAGAAAGTAGTTTCGTTAGAAGTTTTAAATGTCTTACTATCAATACTTATCTACCCAAGAGTTTTAATTTTCATCTCTTATTTAAATTTCATCAGGCTTGATAGTTAGAATCTATTGTTTATTTCTCCCAGGGCAACTCACTGTACAACTAAACTGGCTTTCATAGTGCTTAAACCTTCTTTTTAAACCAGCTAAACTTCTCGGAGTCAATTTCCTGCCCATCACCTATTTAAACAGTGTTTAGCCTATCAGGTAGCAATAGCAGATTTACTGTCTTTCATTATGGTCAGCAATCCACATAATTAAATTGACTAATTAGTAATTAAGGGCAATCACATGACTTTTTTCAGCTCAAAGAGTCTACTTATTGTACATTGTCGGCGTAAAGTACATGTTACATCTACCTCGACACTGACACACTTAAACACCCCTACAGAAATGTGTTTAGAATTACTTGTTTCTAATACTTTATGAAGTAAAGCACCACTTGAAAAAAGATAAAATAGTATTTTCAAAACCCCACAAAAGATGTAGTAAGATTTCTAATCTTGGAAGCACAACAAGGGGAGGTGCTCCTCCAGCAACCCATTGAGGCAGGCGCTGAACTTCCATTTCTTCCCTTGAGTGTTAGGCATGTGCTTAATAAGCTTTTCAGAATAGCAATATATTTAAGCAGATGTTCCATTTAAAAACTAGTAATATTCAGATTAAGATCAATAGACTATCAATTTGCTTTTAAAACCACGACCATTCTTAAAAATATTTTTGGTGGAAACAACCCCCTCAAACTGTGAATACCGATAAACGCATGCATCTATATGCAAGCCTCAGTGAAACGTATTCTGTAAAATTCTAGGTCCACTAATATCCATGTTTATTTTAATCTGCTGCTCTTTTCAGTCACATGTTTTTTTTTAAAAGTTACATCCTAAGAAAACAGTACTGAGTTTTCACATTTAGTATCCACATAGAAGGAAAGAGCTAAATTTATTACAGCAACTGAGAGCAGTTCCAAGAACTTACTGTTGCCAAATCTATTGCATTTATGGGGTTTTCCATTTTATAAGTTAACATATGTAGTAAATACTTGAAAGTCTTATCTACGCTAGGAAAAAAAAATCAGGTATATAATTCCTCCCTATTGGAGCTCCACCAGCGGCAGGGATGATGGAAGCCATAAGCAGTGTAACTACCCCTTAGAAAGGTGTTAAAAATACTAAGAACAAGTTTATGCATACATTTTTGCTAAGGGTAATACAGTCAAAACAGCATGTATGCAAGTAACTTTCAAAACCATCAGTATTTTAATTTACATATGTATTATCTCAAATCAAATCTTTAGCACAATTAATCAGAAAGAACTCGAAAGCTTAGTCCAATTCCCTGGGAAAATACTTGAAAACCTCTTTAGAAGGCAGCTGAATAAATGCGATGGCTGTTTAAATATATTGATATACACAAATGTATATTTAATGCATTCTAAAACAATATTAGCTTGTTTCAAACAAGCTTCTAGATAGGATACAGCCTTTTAAATAATGTCCTCTATGCTTTACAGTGCTACTGTAGATAAGCCTTACAAATACTGCAACAGTTCACCATCAGCTTTCTTTTCTCCAAGTGTTAGCATTATTACATTTCTTCTCCAATAAGCAGATAATTTCCATTTTAAATGACGGCTCCAAATTAATTTCCTTATTTTGCAGGAGTATCAACTATCGAACCAAAGGCTTATTGCTATTCCACCGCAATTCTTCTCTACTTTTTAAGCTGCATACCCCCCTATCAATTTGTAATCACATACCAGCTGTTTCACTTGCTGTAACATACAATGCAGGGTGCCATCTATTGAAAAATAAATACACAGACTAACTAGGAAAAGAACAAGCTGAAGAGGGAATGCAGAAAAAGGGGATATAACAAGCAACGGAGTGAATGCTTCACAGCTCCACAGGAATTCTACCAGGGATAATATAAACGGTTTAATTTGTTTAACTCGGCCACAACTTTAACTGAGGACCTAACAAAAAATAAAGCACAATAAAAACCATGATTAGTAAGTTGGTGTAGAACTGATATCTCCTGCGTTACAGAGAGCTATTTAAAATACATTTTGAAAAAAATCAGGCTTAGAAGAACAGCAAACTTGCCATGTTTTAAACTTTTCATCCAAACCTGGCTTGCAATAGAATATTAAATTGGACTGAGTATGTTTTAGGAGAAGAAAACATCAAAGTTATCATGCCCTACAAAGACTTTCCAAATGCTAGTTTTGCATGTCATGCAGTGGCCAAATTGAGAGGGAAAGCTCTTCTGCTGCATCTCTCCTGTCATTAGCAAAGAACACAAAACCACATCGTGTAAATAGTAGAACTATAACAAATTCACCCTCACAGAATTCCTAAATATCACTATTCTTGAAAAGCTGTTCTCTCACAAGGTGTTAGAAAAGCCACAGAAACATAAAAATATCAGTCTGTAAAGGTCTCCAATAATTTTGCATGCAATGTGAGGCTGGATGTTACACAAAAGCAGCAAAGTATTCAGAGACGTTGTCGTCAGAAGCTGCCGAAATGTTTTTCTGCATTACCGCAACGGGGCCTTGCTTTCAGAAGCTCTCATGGACTTCAAGTAGCTGTAACTGAAATTTAAGCTCAAAGTACCTACCTAAACCTAAAAGAAAGTATTTTAGTAAATTCCCCTTCATTTGAAAAAAGAAATATCCTTTCCTCTTCGACTGTTTAAACTATGAGCAAAAAATTTCAAGTTTTCTTAAAGGGGAGAAACAGGGTGCTGTTTATACCTCAGGTTGAGATAAAAAGTAGGTAATTTTTCCATAGAGAAGTATTTAATTAGTCCATTTGCCATATTCTCTGCTGTACATTAAAAACAATTAAAACAATTATGTGCCCTATTCAGCTCCGATCAAAGGTGGAAAGAAAGCAATCTAGGGGGCAACTTACAATTAATGGTAGCTTTGAAAGAGATATAGAAGCAATTAATATGTAACTGAACTGCAATTTGCACAAACATATCCGGTGCTTACATCTACATAAATTCCTGCCCTTTCACTGGTAAAGTGCCTTGTACACACACTTCAGTACCAGGAAGAAGTGTCACGAGATACTGTCTTAAAAAAAGACTGAGCCACCTCATAGAATATATTAATTCTGTTTCAAAGATCTTTGCAAATGGCTTGTCTGAATCATTACCATTTTTTGAAATGTACAGTATTTATAGAAAGATACCTGATGAGGACCTCTGACAGTTGTCCCAGCAGCTTCTAAAGAAGAAAAAATTCCTTCAGGTACACCCTGGTTTGTGTGCTTAGGTACAAATGTGAAGGCAATGTCTGTTGTTTTTAAACATGTTTTGTCATGGGTATTTTCTATGGGCATGTTTGCATGGTTTGGGGGGGTTATTTTGTCAACAGTTGTCAAACTTTGTAAAGCCGAGGTCATGAGATCAACTCCACGAGCTTCAAATGAGTTGGGTTCCAATTTACTCAGGTTAACAGCACGGTCTCTGTGCTCTAGGTTAAAATGATGATCTTGAAGCATGTTTTCAGCTATACCGGTACAAGAAACTGTTGGTTTTTCCTGAGTGCTCTGCAAGAAAGCAGAGTCATTGTCTGTAGGTGGAAACTTGACATTAAATTTAGAAAGTGATTCTACAGAGTTGTTGTCCTCATCTTGGCCCACTCCTCTTGGTGTGATAGATGTGATGCATGATGCACCTCTATTTATATCCTTTATAACCCGAGGCTTAAAAAGCTCTTCTGCTTGTTCATCAGTTTTATCAGTACACTGTATCGGCATGGAAAACTGTATTTCTGCAAAGAAAGAATGAAGAAAACATTAAACTGAAGGACAGTTATTAAAGATGTAGTGTTGGGGTATTCTTCCTGGGAGGCTTTTGATCTTCCTTCTTGGCTTTTTAACCTTTAGTATTTCTCTTTGATATCAGTTTGATACATAGTTGTCCTTCACAAACAGTAGCTCCAGCACAAAAACTATCAGAACAGAAGGAAAAGGAAATAATTCTGTTCTAGTAATTATATTTCTCTCTGATTTATGGCTATAAATGTTTTCATTTTATTGAAAATTTTGTTGTCCCATACTCTTAACACATACTTGCATATATTTACTGAAATATTCTGGCAGAAATAGAAGCTGGAACCAAAACCATTTCACATGGTGCCAAGAACATACTAGGCACCATGAGCACGATTTTAAAAGGTATTCAGGTACAAAACACCCATTGGTTTTCAAATAAGGTAAATATTTAAACTGAACAACTATTCCGAAGTGGGACCATATTTCCCTTTTGTTCTGAGAATTTCCCCTTCATTTTTTGGCACCTTATTAACACAAATGGTAAATATACACGGTTACTCCTAATCAGGTGAGAGAATAATGCCAGTATCAGCAGCCTCCTGACATCACCCAGATACTGCAGTAACGTGGCCCACAGAGGTAACAGAAATCAAGCAGATTAGATCTGTATCGTGTATAGCTTTTAACAGAGTTGAGGTAGGCACTAATTTAAGGAAAATTCCAACACCTAAAAAATAGAGTTTAGTAGCGCACAATCAGAATATCACAATTCAGACACAGCAATTTGAAGCCACAAGCTACACATTAGCATTTAATGTAAAAAACTTCAGTAGTTGTAACCTAAATTAGATGCTGAAATCAGCATCTTTTGCTTCAACCATGTAGGTTTGCCAGGTGTTTTTGGAAATCACTTGAGTATGATGCTATTGTTAAGCAAAGCTGGTAGACAATACCCACAGTAGCTTATGTTATATTAAACATAAGCAACGGCAGAACTGGGCATTAAGGATCTCTCCCAGTTGCAACAAAAATCAGCCCTTTCTTTTGTTTTGAGGAAGTGTTGCATTAGGCTCTTGCCCTGTGTAACAAATCAGCACTCGAAAGTCTGCACAGAGAAGTCTGAAAGGTAAGTCCTCTGACTCTCCTCAGTCCAGCAGCTCTCCTCTAACAAATACGGGTCTGGAGACATCCAGAACAGACATCTTTGGAACTGACAGCTAAATTAAAAGCAAGCAAGTGCTGTCATTCACACAGTATGATGGGATATCACATGGAGTAAGTGCCTGCCTCTCACTCTGAGGGACAAACCAATTACAAGAGCCATGGATGTGATGACTGTCTTTTAGAGCATGAGATTTGGAGCGTTCGTCTTAGAATGCCAAAACTGGCGGTGCGTTTTCTTGGTGAAATACTGAGCACCATGTGAACAGACTTGAAAAAGGCAGATGGTAAACAGTAGAAGTACTTCTATGTATGTGTAATTTACAGTATTTTCAAATATAAAGCAAAGCTTTCAAACAGTTGAATCACAATAAGAGCCTAAGTATGATATTACCAGTTTCAGGTTCTGGCTTTATCTTGAATTTACTCAGTTGGTCTGTTTGTTCTCTGGCTAGCATACGTATCTGATGGCACTCTTCTTTCATGTCCTGGAAAAAAGTCTCCAGATTCTCCCTGGAAGATCAAAATTGTAAATTAAAGAACCAACCAACAGAGCTTGTTGTGATTTTTAATCTAGTCACACCCACAAACCAGAGAAAAACAAAAGCGTAAGCTAGTTTTCTTGTATACCTTGTTCTCCAACATAACAAACGTATTTTTGTTCTCCTCAGTAAAAGCAAGCAGAAAAGGGAAAAGAAAATGCTATGAAAGAGCTGTTTAGTTGTATCACGCATAAACATATGAGCTTAGGGCCTGATCCTGCAAGGACTCCCCCCCCCAAAAATCAAGCCTTTACATTTCTTTCCATTCCCTCAGGTATTTTGTGGAACAGCTGACCTTTCACAAAGGTACTGTTTCCACCTCATTCTTGGGAAAATAAGACGCTGCTGCTGCTGTGAACATTCATATTTTTCCATTAATTTGTGCGTGCTTCACATTTTCCAGGAGAAGGAACACACAAGTGTTTGTTACTGCTCCTTCCTTCTCTGGCTGCCTGACATTCTGGAGATGGGCTTGTGAACTCATTCCTTCTCTTTATACAATATCACATGGCTTTTCCTTTTATTGTGAGATTTTAAAAAAAATTATAACTTTTCCAGAGTATCGTACGGACATCTGCTATTTAGTTATCTGCACTGAGAATGGTAAAAACAGTTTTTCATGCAAGTGTGAGTTTTATTTGCCCAATAGGACTGCCCAAAAATTCCATTGCGAAATTTTGATAAACTTACTGAGTAATTTATTTTTCTAAGCAAAATATCATGGATTTTATAAAATGAACTTCAAGGATGAAAAAGTAAAGTTAGTAACAAACAGGATTTGTGTTCTCTTTTGCATCTTTGTATCAAAAGAGCTTAAAAGGGATTTTTCTTTAATCCAGTGAATTGTTTTCCTTTTAATTGCTTATTCACATAGCAGTCAAGAATGTTCCTATTTCTGCTGTGCTTCTCTTTTTGAAGACACAAATGTCTATTTGCATCTCATTTGAAAAGAAAGATCTGCAGAAGAAATTGAAGTTGCTACTGTTAATGCTTACATTCTGACCATTTTCCAGGTGTTCTGATAAATAAGGAATTAACAGACTCAACAAAAGTTTCTAATTGGAGCTTTAAAATATACGTATAATTAGATGAATCAGTCTTAATTTGCTAGATACTTGTGATACTATAATCTTAGGATGTAAGATCACCAGTAGTCTTACCAGTCACATACCTCTTTCCAAGAAAACAGTAAAGTAAGGGAGCTATTTGAGAGCAGAGAGACATAAGACAGGTAAAGGTTTTTGATTTTTTAGACATAAATCAGTAAAGACAAAGAAGTCTATATCACATCACAGTCTTATTTTCTCTTTCTTATCATAAAGCAGTAGTGAGCCGGACTAAAGATCCATGTAGTTCACCTAGCCTACGTCTGAGAGTGGCCAAAAGCAGATGCCTAGGTGAGAGTATGAGAAGACAGTGAGAATTTATGATACTCTTCCCCAACAGTCTCCTAGGCTCATCTGAGAGATTCTTCTACTTGACCTCAGCAAAACTGTTAAAAGTGATATTACTTCCTATCCTGTGAAAAATGCAAACCTAAGACTTTGGTCCGTATTTTTCCCCAAACGCTGGCAGCAGATAGAATACTTCCTGAGGCGATCTACTGCTCTTGGTGCCCTGGTCATAGCAAGGGCTGGCCAGCTCCAGCTTACAGATAAACGTGGTTTCAAACTCTCTCATTTAGGATGGATCAGACTAAGAATTATTTCTTCCTGTAGGCTCCTCTGCTGCCCTGCCATCAGTTAATCCCTTACGGTTGTAAATTCCTGTTCCGAACAGAGTTAATGCAAGGGAGTTAATGCTTATCTGAAACTCAGCATTAATATCCATTGCTGTTTCCCACCGAGTTTAACCTCCTGCT